CCCCCCCCCCCCCCCCCACCCCCCCCCCCCCCCCCCCCGCAGCAAGTCCAAAATCAAGAGGCCGAGTTAGCAAACTCGGCAAGTGGATTTTGAGGCCTCTTATGATGATCGTACATGACGAAAGTGCTGTAAATACCTAATAAGACGGATGTGCTCTTAAGATGGTTTTAAGCAAGTGTAGTTGGTAGGGGGGGGGCGCCTACTACTACTACTACTACTACTACTACTACTACTACTACTACCTCTACTGCTACTCCTAGCACTGCTAATAAACAGAACGAAACTACCCCCACCCCCCACCCTCCAGACCCCCCACACCCCAGAAACAGACAAAGACAAGCAGAACCCGCGGGTCAATTGGTAGGGCGTTAGTTAGTAACGGTCTAGGACCCAAGTTGTCCTCAGCACCTTTCGGCTGACATCCTACACCCAAGCACCCAAGAACCTCTCACAGCTCTCACACCTTGGCGGCGAAGTTTCTCTTTCTGAAGACCTAGTCCGTCTTGATCTGATCTCGACTGTTTGTATGATTATGAGTCTGGCCAACCTTTTGTATCGTCATTCTGGCTAATACGGCTTTTCATACCTTTGCAGTCGCTGAACCAGTCATGGTTCCATACTCGATATCGCCTGTCCTACTGTCGCTATTGCAACTGCTTTCCTTGACACCACCCTCTGCTTGACTACTACTCCTTTATTTCCGTCGATAGCACACCCGTTTTCCACTATCCACTGCTCAAAAATTTCATGCTTCCGATACAAGCGTCTCAACCGCGGAATCTCATTGGTTCACGCAAGTCCTCCGGCAGGCACCAGCCGGCGCAGATTAGAAAGTCGCGTGCCTGCCGACAGCATTCAGCTTAAATAAAGGGCTGAAGGTTGAGGGCTTGTCATATAAAACTAAGGTGTTTTAAACTAGGAATGATGCTGATACTAACGCTGGTGCTAACAATAATAATGCTTCTAATAAACCAAACAATGACAGTGATTGTTCAATCGTAATATTCTTCAAACTCGTAGTTTTATCATTACGACTACGCATCGCATAGCAATATCGTTACCATTACTAGTATGAGTATCATTAGTGGTATTAGGTGTTGTTATAAATATTTCTATTGTTGTTGAATGATTATTCCTATTGTTTTTACTATTATTGCTATTATTCTAGTTGCGAGTATTAGTATTGCTAATATTATTCGTAGTAGTAGTAGTAGTA